ACTAAACAAACTTGAAAAGGGGCTGGAACTTATAAGTAGAGAAATGCAAAATATATGCAAGGTGTACTAATTGGAAAGGAAAGGGCTCCTCTGTTGCATTCTGGGACATGTGGTCCGAAGTCTGTGCAGGCTCACACACTTGGGCTATATAAGGCCCCACTGAATTCTGGGAAATGAAGCCCTGGACTCCCCGTGTCCCAGATGCTTCCCGCTCCAGGAAGACAATTCTGGGAGCCAGTCTGGGAAATGTAGTCTGGGGAACTCTTCGTAGCTGTAGGTGCTTCCGCTCCAGGAGGAATGCGTAGTAGTAGCCATCTTTTCCACGGTTTGAGTAATTTAGAGGGTCAGCTGGAACCTCTTCAGTTTCTCCCAAATGCCTGTGGGACCAAGTTAACAGTGTTTGGTTTGGGGAGAAAAAAAGAGGAGCAGCAAAGAGCGGAGGTTTTAGGGACAAGGCTGCTGTGGCGCTCCCCGAGGCGGGCTGCTTGGGGTGGGCGCATCGGGTGAGGGCGGACCTGGGCTGAGGGTCCCCACGAGCTGCCTCCGCCCCAGGGAGACAGTCCTGCCAGCTTCCTGCAGTAGCTCAGGGGCGGCTTAGTTAATCCGTTTGCCATTGTTTGCTGTCCTGAAAAGAGGGAAGGAGGAAGAACTAAGTTATACCTTGCTAACGGAATCTGAAGGAAAAAGAATCCAAAAGGTTTTAAACTACCTAGTATATGGATTGTTAGACACTAGTGTCATTTTCCAAGAAATGCCTATTTCGCGGTGAGCTTCTGTAAGCCCAGGAAACTGAACTGTCCCTACCCTTACTTTTTTAGCAGGGAGAGGGTTGCTGAATCAGGGGACGTGACAGTAATTTATCGGAGATAAGAGACACAGACTAGGAATTTGACAACTTTCGTTCCTTCCCAACACCTGATTTCTCAAAAAGCAGCGCACGGAAGAAGAGGAGGCCTGTGTGGGTAAGAGTCCTACGTGAGTGAAACTTTTCTTTTTCCACCAGGATTCACATAAATCGGAGAACGGGTGGATCATGGTCCAGGGCCTGGGAAGTGATTAAGCAATAGTTGCTGAATTTCAGCCTAAGGGTCTTGGGCCAATGAAGCCCTTCGCAGGGGGCTCAGGTAAGTTGCTACTCTACAGATGAGTAGACAAGACAGGAGGAAACAGCGTATTTGCTCATGGTCACACAAGTTGTAGGTGGCAGAACTGGTGTTGGTGAAGCTAGGCAGTCTGGAGTCCAGACCTGAGTTCATAATCTCCATTATAGTCTCCTTGAACCCTAATCAACTGGTGTACTGTCAGGTGAAAACAGGTTTGGACCTCATAATGTGGATCTTGAAAGCGTGGTTTTGTCTACTCTATGTTTAAAAAGATTTCTGAACTATTTTTTTAAAGTAATATTTATATCATGGAAGTAATATTTAATCGTGGAAATTTCAAGAAATACAGAAACATATGAGGAAAAAATTGAATTATCATAACCTTAGGAAATAAATACAACAGGAGTGCGTTTCTGTCCAAGTATTCTTGTGTATGCGTCTGTGTAGTGGAGGCTGTCTTCTTTGGGATGGATAACACCCTGCTGTGCTTCTCAAGTTGTGATCCGTAAATCAGAAGTGTTGCATCACCTAAGTAAAAGTGTGTGTCCTTGAGCACCACGCAAGACCTTCTCATGTAGGATTTCTGTGTCTGGAACCCAAGGAGATGCATTTCAACAAGATTCCAAGGTTGATTGCTGTGCAGACAGAAGTTTGAGAAACTTAGAATAGGATCTTAATCTAGAAACTCGGCCCTAAACTATTGACGGTCCTTGATGTCATAAGATGGCCACACTAGACTTCTTTGTCTTTTCCACAAACTGTCAATTTGGACAAAATGAGGATGTGAGTAGAAGGCGACCTGGCAAGTCTATGTGACGTCTGTTGATGTCATACAGATATGTTTCTCTCAGACTGTGGAAGTAGATTCATTGTCCTTTCTTGTACTAGAAGACCTATCTTTTGTTTTGTTTCTTCTTTGTAGGCAGAATCTCGCTATGTAGTACAGGTTGGCCTTAACCTCACAGTGATCCTCCTACCTCAGCCTCCCAAGTGCTGGGTTTACTGATTACTGGTATGTGCCACCATGCCTGGCCTAGAGAACTTATTGAAGTGGGAAGAGTTGGTTACTAGTTATTGGTAGTGTTAAATATTGTTAATCTCCATCAATATTTATAGAAATACAGATATGAAACAAAAGCCTAAGGTCCCAAGGGAGCAGAGAGCAATAGAGAGAGCCCAGGGAGAGCCGTCTCTCACTTATAGATTCCTGACAAGCTAGGATTCAAGGCTACAGACAACAGCTTCTCCTGCAGGCGCCCTGTCCTTTGATCCCTTGCTTGGGATGTTATCGGCTAGCATTTGTGTGGACCTAGTGTTAGGCAAATGGTGGAAGTGAGTAGAGATGGTAGTTTGTGTTCACTTAAGTAATTATGCACATTCCTTAGCCAGCCTTTAGCCCTCAATAAATATGAGATGCTTCTGAGACTCTGGGCTCGCTTGGAGAGAGACTAATCTCAGTGAGACCTCTGAAGCTACATTCATCAGGTCTTCTCGTCGTTTCTATTGGCACCAACTCATAACATACAACAAATATTACTACTATTACTGTTACTACTATGAGAATTGCCTGCTTTTTTCTAACTTTCTACTTTTTTCATGTAATTCTACAGTTGTAGGAAACTTGCCAGAGTAGTATAAAGAAACCTCATGTAGCCCTGCTCAGATTTACCAGTTGTGTTGGCCCGTGTGTTCTGTCAGTGACCATCTGCTGAATAATCCCAGGTATGTACCTACACCTAGAGACGTTTAAATTTGTTCTAGCTTGCTGCAGCAGTGAAGCCCCTCGTCCCTACAGAGAATCAGGTATGGGGGGTCCTGGGAAGAGGCAATTAGAGTGGTTTAGCTTCTGTTACCCGGTTTGAGAAGAATTTTAGGCAGTGGGTGTTTGTTCTGCACTGGATGCTATCAGAAGAAATTTGATACCTGAATTTTGTGATAAATTTTATGGAGAAGATGGAAGAAGTAAGGTGAGGTAAGAGTTATAGCTGGAACTAAACCCATGTTCGCCAGGAGAGATCCTCACTGGGTTGGTTTTGTCATTGTAGAATGTGTCTTTACATTACAGGCTCCTCGTTTCTCTTTGCTGTGATCACTGAGTGTCCTTGCCTGGTTTTAGTTGATCATCAGAAAACACCAATGTCTGACTCTACCTGCTTTTTTTTTTTTTTTTTTTTTTTAAGACGGCATACGAGATGTTGCGGCGTGACTGGAGTTCAGACGTGTGCTCTTCCTTTCTTATAGCTTTCCGTGTGTGTGGGGGGAGCTTTGTGTGTGTGTGGTTATGGAAGCATTTGATAGCGAGCTGTAGACACAGTTAAAATGAAATTACAGTAGGCCCTCTCTATTTAGCTGTTCTAAAAAACGGATTCACTGTTTTGTGGGTTTTCAAAAAGATAATGTAAATTATTTATTGTGAATTTTTTGCTATATCACAAGATTTTGCAGTACCCTACAGTGTACGTATATTGTTGAAATTACATAGGTTTATGAGTTTAGAAAATGATTAAGAACATTATAAGTTTTTTAAAAGTGTGGGAAAAGATTATAAGAGTGTGGGAAGGGTTATAAAGCCTTAAAATATATATAAATACTAAAATAAATACAACATTGGTGGGCCAGGGAAATAGCTCAGTAGAATAAGTGCTTGCCTGGCAAGCGCAGGGTCCTGAGTTCAATCCCCAGCACCACAAAAAAAAAAAAAAAAAAAAAAAAAAAACCAAAACAACAACAAAAATACAACACTGCTAGTTCACTGATTTTCACTTATTGTGGGGTGTCTGGAATGTAACCTCTGTGATAAGTGAGGGGCCACTGTCATTACACTGATAGCCTGCTGTAATCTAATCCACAGCCTGTATTTGTTTGCTCAGCTTTCCCCACGGTCCTTGAGAGATTTTTCCCAAGTGTGAGAGACCGTACTCGTTCTATGCATTGAACTTAGTGTGTGTTCCGTTAATCACTCTCATCTAGAATGATTCCTCTGGTTGTTTTTCCTTTTTGCTTTTGATACTTTTGTGAAGTAACAGGAAATTTTTTATACATGTCTTTAATATTCATGATTAACTTCAAGCTGCGCATGATCAGAGCAGGGGTGGCACAGAAGTGGTGGGGTGTCATTTGAGAAGCTGAATGGCACTTTGTATATTTGTTTTCCTGGAGGTCTCAACTTTGTTCTTTTTTAAAAAATTTATTGAATACAGGGTCTCACTACACAGTTCAGACTCATAGTAATCCTCCTCTCTTAGCCTCCCCAGCTTTGGGATTATAGGCATGTGTCACCACACCCAGTTTTGGGGCTAGCATGGGGTGCTTGGGGCTCCAGAGCCTGCGCAGCATGCAATACCTGGGAACAAACTCAGGTCCTTGCACTTGTCAGACAGGCACTTAGACCCCTGAGCTATCTCAGCCCTAAATACCACATTTTTAAGGATCATTTCAAACTAGATTATCACCTATTCATTGTAGCTATTACTGAAAGAAATGCTGACCGTGTTCTAAGAGATTTGTATTGTCCCTCCCGCAAGCTGACAGAACTCAGGCAAAGACATGGTACTAATTTTCCCAAGGTGGCACTGCTAGGGAGTAGCCCTGCTGCCTGCCATCTTAGCCCATACGTGCCAGTTTTAGAGCCCACTCCTGCCTGTACTGTCGCAGTGTATACGGGATCCAGAGTGAGAATCATCACTGTACAAGTCCAGGCATACTGGTGTTGAGGCCACCCGGTGTGTTTGTATGGGTTGCTCTGTGCCAGCCACCAAAAGCGGTAGGGATCCCTGATGACAGTGTGGTGCGCCGATGCATTTCGGAAGAGCCAGGTCCCTTCACTCATTCACAGGAGGGGCTGCTGGGTCAGTGCTATGCTTGCCCAGGGTTCAGTGCCTTTCTCTCTCTTTGTAGCTCTGCTGCCATACGGCTCTGTGCCTTCCCAGGAGGAAGAATTGAAAATGAACGCGTTGAAGGTAAGTGGAACTTGCCTTTCTCCCTATTAATATGCCGCTGTAATACTCAGAGATAGGAGTCAGTGCATTTGAGAGCCTGGAGAGTGTGCCCAGTCCTCATGTGGCCCCTTTTAAGTTGTGACTTTTTTTTTGGTGGAACCGGGGATTGAACTCAGGCCCTTGCGCTTGCCAGGGAAGCGCTTCTTCCACTGAGCCATCTCCCCGGCCCCAGTTGTGACTGGTTTTGATTTTGGTTTTATTTTATTTTTTATGGTACAAATGAGAGTAGAAAAACAATGGATGTGAAAACAATCTATGCTTACAAACTGGCTGCTTTTTTATTTCTATAATCTGCATCATATCTATTCATTTTTTTTGTTTCATTTTTTGCTCGTTTGTCTTTTTGAGACAGTCTCACTATGCAGTTCAGGCTGGACTTGAGCTCACTTTGTAGCCGAGGCTGATCTCAAACTCACAATGATCCTCCTGCCTCAGCCTCCTGAGTGCTCATATGTTTTTATTTTATTTTATTTTATTTTATTTTATTTTATTTTTTGTATTTTAGGGAAAGGTCTACAGGATGTTCAGGGTCTCACTATTAGATCAGACTTGTAGTGATCCACCTGTGTCCAGTCTCCCAAGAGCTGGGATTACAGGCAGACAGATGGGGCCAGCACGGCAGACCCGGGGATCGAACCGCTGGCCCCTGCACCTGTTTGCAGGCGCTTTAATCCACTGAGCCATTTGGCCAGCCTTCATATGTTTTTATTTATAACATAATTACAGTTTATTTTTCTTTTTTGTGGTGCTCCTTTGAACCCTTGGCCTCAGGCATGCTTAGCAGGCAAGCACTCTACCACAGCTGTATCCCCAGCCCCTTCGATGCAATGGAATTTGTATTTTCTTCAATATTGTATACCACTCATTTTTCATTGCTGTGTCCTATTTCTATCAAATTTGTATACCCAGCTTTTAAACTGTTCTGTCTAGATATGTGGTTAGGATTTTTTCTGTTTTAAGAACACTACACTGACAGTTTTCCTGCATTCAGCTTTTTCTGAAAGAATCATTTTTGAAAGATACTGACTTGTGTATCTTTAATATATTAAGTATCCAGAATTGAAAAGAAATGTTTTATATTTGATACCTTGAATTTTTTTATAGAATTTTTTTTTTTTTTTTTTTTCAGAACCAGGGATTGAACTCAGGCCCTTGTGCTTGCCAGGCAAGCACTTATTCTACTGAGCTATCTCCCTGGCCCCTCATAAAATATTCAAATATGGCACAGAGCATCAAATTCAACTGTTGCTTCCAGTAGAAAACATTGTTAAGATGTTTTTGTGCCAGTAAGATAGCTCATCGGCTTAAGTACCTGCCTGTCAAGTGCAAGGGCCTGAGTTTAATTCCTTGCACCACACACACTCACAGAGATGCTTTTGTACCAGAAGAGCCAGATTCTGAGTTCCCTGGCCCAAGTCTTACCCTGTGAATATTTTCCTCACAGGTCTGTTTTTCCCTTTGTGTATACGTAGAGTTTGGCATTGAGCTGTGCCCCTGCCTCCCGCTTACCTGCCCTCCTGCTTACCCTTTCCTATCTCGAGACAGGTTACCTCCAAGTTCCCCAGGCTGGGCTCAAACTCGCCACGCTTCTGCCTCAGCCTGCCAGCGTGGTGGGATTGTAGGCCTGCATCACCATGTCTAGCTCCTTTGTATTTTTTTAAAATCAAATTCATATGTGACCTTAGCGTAAAACATGTCCTGGTGCTACGTAGACTTGCCAAGCACGTACGCTGTGTCACTCCACTTGTGTCGTGGAGCAGCAGGATGATGCATACATACTTGGTTTCATCTTCACTATAAACAAAGAAAGGGGATTGTGCAAAGTGAGGGACTCACTCACGCCCACACAGAAACTAAGGAACCACGGTGTTGTGTTGTAGTGAAAGATGGAGATGGGCAGGAACGGCCTGTTGCTTGGAAGTCTGGCATGTCTTTTTGGCTTGTTTGAACATACTGCGCTGCTCCTCACTTGGCGCCTCCCCAGGTGGAAGGCAGGTGCTGTCAGACACTGTTGCAACTAAATTGGTCAATCTGGAAAATAAGTGATACCAATTAAAATGTGAACTTATTTTAGTTCAGGGTGCTGCAGTTAGATGTCTAAGGAGTTTACATATTGAAGCGCTCTTTAGGAGCATGCCATGTTTTCTGATTGCAGTTTTGGGAAGGCAGAGGGAAATTCCTGTGTGGCATCAGGAGTTGGAAGGAGAAGCAGCAGAAAAATCTACAAATGGCTGAGTCCAGAGTAACTTCCCACGCCTTCTCCCTGCCCTCGCACTGCCACCCCTCTTCCAGCGGACATTGTTACATTGAGGTTGTGTGCGTGTTTGTTGTAGGAGGCAGTGACCTTCAGGGACGTGGCTGTGGTCTTCAGCGAGGAGGAGCTGGGGCTGCTGGACTCGGCCCAGAGGAAGCTGTACCGAGAGGTGATGCTGGAGAACTTCAGGAACCTGCTCTCCGTGGGTGAGGACAACCTCCCTCTGGAGTATCTTTGTGACCTTGGAGTTTTAAAGCTGTGGAGTTCTTTTTTTTTTTTTTTTTCTTTGTCTTTTTCAGATAAGGTCTCACTATGTAATTCAGGCTGGTGTTGCACTCACTTTGTAGCTCAGACTGGCCTTAAACTCCTAGCAGTTCTGCCTCAACTTGCTAACTGCTGGGGTTACAGTGCTATGTCACATGCCCAGGTTGGGGCTCTTGAAGTGACACCATCTTTGTTAATTCCTGTGGAATGCAGAAGCAGGATGCCCTGCTCTTTGTGATCAGGATAGTTCAAGTCTTTTTCAAGTATATTTTGTAAAAACAAACAAACAAAAAAAAAAACCCTGAATGGATGGTATACTGCTATTTCTTGTCCATGCTTTTTCACATTTTGCTCCTGTCCCGTTAGTGAATTATAAAACCAGTCGATTATTGAATCCTACCATCAATTTTCCTGTCTTACATGCTGGGCAAGTCTCTTGCCACTCAGCTGCATACCCAGGCTTCTATGAACAATCTCTAATGAAAATATAGGTGCTGCTTGGGAGGAACGATACATAGGGCATTGAACACTGCCCAGATGGGGCTGGCGAGATAGCTTGGCAGTATAAGCACCTGCCTGGTAAGCACAAGGATCTGGGTTTGATCCACAGATGCGCCATGCAGTCCTGACACCAGATGTGGTGGTGCACACCTGTAATCCCCGTGCTGGGGAGGCTGAGGCAGGAGGATCACTACTAGTCTGAGCTGCATAGTGAGACCTTGTATCAAATAAATAAATATTACCAAAAAACCCTGACCAAATGGCTGAATAATGTGTGAGAGCCAGTGGGAAGAGAATTGATGAAAATAGACATTAGTTAAAAATGGACCATTCAAATATTTTTTTACTTTTTAAAAATGTATTTAGTACAAGGTCTGCAGGTTTTAATATGTAGATTGGACTCGTGGTGATTCTACTGTTTTCAGTCTCCCAAGCACTGGGATTACAGGCGTGTGCCACCATGCCCCAGTCTCAGTCGCTGGCTCAGCATGCCCCAGGGGCAGGGCCGGCATGGCATACCAAGGTCAAACTTTTTAAAAAATAATATAAATTATATACATGTGTCAGTCATGAAATAAATGCTATTCAGTGGGTCATGGGTTTGAGAGAAAGTTTTAAAAAAGTTTTCACTGTCTTTGATATGCAGTTGGAACTCAGATTTTTAATAATTGTTCTAGTATGTTTGTTTTAAATTTCTATAACTGCGTGTTCACAGAGCATCAGCTCTTCCAACGAGACAGTTCATGTACAGAAAGAGAAGAGAAGCTTTGGAGGATGAAGGCAGAAACCCAAAAAGCGAGAATGTTAGGTAAGAACCAAGCAGTTCTGACTCCTCGCAGGTCACTGTCCACCAGCTTTGCTCATGACCCTTGCTGTCACTTGTCCAGATCGCCAATTCTTCTGGATTAGTGCAGCGGCCTCGTTACCAGTTGTCCTGCCCCTGTGGTAGCCAGAGTGATCGTTCAGCCTTAGGTTAGAGGGTGTTATGCCCCTGCCCATGATTCTGTTGTGCTTACTTTACTGAGAGTAAAACCTCTGCCCCCAAAGTGAGTAAGAGGCCCGTGTGGTCTGGTCTTCACCCTCCACTTCCTCTTCTCTGTCCTTGCCCTCGAGTTCCCTCTTTCCAACCACATTGTCCTTCCTGCAGCTTCTCAGACCGGCCCCGGTCACTTCTGCCCCAGAGCCCTTCATGTGTTCTGTCGGCCTGGAATACACATGCTGCTAATCCTGCCCCTTTTCGTTCCTTCAGGTCTGCTCAGATTTTTGTTTCGTTGTGTTTATTTTTCTGGTATTGAGGACTGAACCTAGGGCCTTGTGCATGTTAGGCAAGTGCTTCACCACTGAGCTGCATCCCCAGACCCCGGGCTCATTTTTAATATCATGAGAGTCCTTTTCTGATCACCGTACAGTCCTCCCATTACTCTGTGCCGTGTGTTACTTTGTGTCTGAGCATTGATTGTCACCTCACTAGGGGACTGCAGTCTTCAGGAGTGTCACACTTCTGCCTCCTGTTTCGCAGCTGCTTCCTCCATTTTTAGAACAGTCACAATACGTGACAGGGTGAATAGTAGGTGGACAAATGAATGCGCTGCTGGACGTGCAAAGCTGGCTTCCATGGAGACAGCTAATAGGTACACACAGCAGGGTAAATGAAAGATTTTGTGAAATATTTTTTGTCTTCAGATGAATTCCTCAAGCACAAGGTCCTGAGTTCGATCCCTGGTTCTGCAAAAAAAACAAAAAATGAATTCCTAATCTAATTCTAATTTCTAGGAGTGTGTGTGTGTGTGTGTGTGTGTGTGTTTGCTTGCTTATCTGCTCAAGTTGATCCACAGCTTAGGGAACCTATAGTATTGTAATTAAGTAACCAAGCAGAGTAACTCCTTTCTCAGTGACTTTATTTCAAAATATTCATTTGAAGAGAAAATGCTTTATATCTGTGTAGGTATTTGTGCATACAGGGAAATAAAATTCGACTTCCTTATCTCTAATATCAGAGAAGAAAAAGTCTCAGAAAGTAGCTAATTGTGAATTAGTCTTTCCCTTAAAATATTTGCCCAGCTCCATCCCATGTGCTTCTTCCAAAGCCCATATCTACTACAGAAATAGATCTTTCTTTTTTTATTATTTTTTTTATTTTTTATTTTTAAAGAGTTACTTTATTTTTATTTTTTTTGACATCAGTTATTTTATTTTAAAGAAAAAAAAACCAACAATGGTACAAAATCTCAAAACAAGATTTTAGGAGAGTAACAATGGTTAGTACATTGTGTATTGTTACTGCCAAAGTAGTTTCTCATATTACAAGATATAGGCCAGAAATAATAAATAAACAACACAAGTACAAACCTCTTTTTTTTTAAA